TGCCATACCACAATAGCACAGAGATGCAATCATCGATTCGAATTCCATAGTAGTTGGGATAGTAGAAGTATCAGCAATAGTCGGAGAAATCGGGGTTCGAAGATGTTATTCAAGAAGTATAATCTAGACAAACGAACGTAAATAGAGAAAGATTGAGGCGATGAGGAATTCACAGGATTATGACTTGAGCGAAGTCAAAGAATGGATGCCCCTGCGCCATTGTAAACGATTTTGAGCCATGTCATTGAATGTCTCTAACCATCGATTACCATAATCTCACCCCAACCAGGTAGTCTAAAACTACCAATATAGCTCAGTCCAGTTGTCAGTGACTTTATGGACGAAATGATGTGCAATACACTCGTCCTTCGGTTAGCAAATGGATACCTTGCCTACGCTATAAGTGACGCAAGTTGGCAAACGTCAATAGAGCCTTCTATATCCATGCTGAGATTTCGTCAGTCACCAGGCCATTAGCACTGATGAAACTCCTAAGATAAGTGAAGCGGTCGACACGCTCAACTACTTCGATTCCTATCACTAGTTACGGTGCCTATGCAAGCCAATCCTGAATCAACATTTGCATTTCGAGGGGGAAAACCGCATTCCGAACATGCTTGGATTGTTTCTTAGGGTAGTCAGAAGACTCTGCATTTTGTCAGTGTCTTCATCAAATTGAACTATGTCATCTGCATATTCTAAGTCAGCAATCGTGTTTCCTGGTAGAAGGTTCACCCTGAAAAGATAATGTTGTCTCTAAAAGCTTATCCATGAAAAAGCTAAACAAGGTTGAGTAAAGAGGACATCCCTGACGGACACCACTTGAAGTAACGGATTCTGATGAGAGTTCACCATGAGCTCCAACTCGGCCAGTCGTGTTCGAGTAGAGTGCTTGTATAGGGTTGATGTACTTTTCTAGTATTATCGAGGCCATCAGTTGAAACACTATATAAATTAAAATGATTCCTCTGCGATTGTCACAAGGGGACTTTCGTCTTCTGTTGTAGACTGAGACGATCAGTGATTGATACCAGACTGATGAGGTTACGTCCAGCTTCCAGATTCTACCTATGATCTCCCTCAATCTAACTGCTACAACTGGACCATCCCTAAAATTCTCAGTGGTCAGTCTATCAGGGAGCGCAGCTCTGTTTCACTTCAGATATCTTATCGAATTTTCGAATTCGCTAAGTCAGGGACTTACATCAATTTGCCAATCAGGCTAAAAGCCGGTGAAACTGATCGATCAAATATCTTGGATTCAGAATGAATAATAAGCCTATCCTTTTCCGAGATAGTCTCACTTACAGTTGGATTCCAAATAACAGCTTCCTTGATAAGTCGGAGCATTAGTCTACTGTTGCTTGTCGCCGCTGCCTTTTCCATTGCCCTTGACTTCGTTACTCACTACTGTTCACAGTCATTGCGTTGGCTCTTTATCAGCTTTTGCTTAAGGTGACTCATCAGGATCAGAGCCAGATGGGATGAGTTTCTGAGCATCAATCAGTTCAGTAGATGCGACTGAAATCCACTGCTTCTCCTTAAGCTTATGATTTGTCTTACCAGCAGATAGAACTGCTGTTTCCACAGCCTTTTGGATATCATCCAAAGCTGTCTCGCGATGGTAATTAAATCCACGATCCCCTAAGTGTTTTTCTAGTTGTTTTCGAAATACATTCATGACTTTGCTATCCTCAGGTAGAACGCGAAGAGGTTTACTTGCGATGTCTTTCCTACGTCCACTGAGTCACAAACAAATACGTACTCGCACCAGAGCATGGTCTGAATCTGAATATGTGTCCCAGAATGAGCGGCAGTCTTCTATCGAACCCTTTCATCTGTGGCTGATAGCGATGTGATCTAGTTGGGTCCACCGTTGGGACGAATTCGGGGGTCGCAATGTTTTTCCTTGTGCATTAGTACTCGCTGAGAATAGTTGGTTATCTCGGCATAGTTGCGACCGACTGTTGCCATTACTTGTCCTGTGAATCGCAACACCATAAGGCCGACGCAGTTGTCTTTCACTTTTGCTCCGTCTACATACTTGAGCATTGAAGTCACCAGCAACTAGTACTACAACAGAGAGCCTAACTTTTTGAAGGTAGAAAGTTTTCAGAAAAGTTCTTCTTTTACTTCACTTAAGCTGCAGTCAGTGGCAGTGTAGGCAGAGATTATGAGGAGATGACGGTTTTTTACTTAAACAAGTTGAGGTCAAATTATTGCTCAGACTCGCGTGCTTCATGTGCGTTTCGTAGAAGCAGCACATATCGATGTCACGGGATTTGAGAGACCAAAGTAATGCAGCCCATTGTCCTATTTGACACAAGTTTCGAGCACTGAAAGCTCCAATATGTAGTTTAGAGCGGGTTTTCAGGAGACTGTGAATAACGTTTTGTGGGCTCGAATCTTTCGCATTAACAGCAGGAGGTCATAAAGAAACGTGAGGAGGGTTGGTCGTGAAGATAAGAGAGGAAGTATTTGATTATGACCGATTTGACCTCGTGTGCTTCTACAGGTATGAGGGTGGTTTTCACCTCCCAGCTGCCAATACCGTGGAAGGGTACTTCTTGAGGGACCTGGAAAAGAAACTGGATTAGTGTTTCTCTAAGCGATATGTGAGCGTGATCGCAGAACCCAAGAGGCAACTGTTTAAGACCGGTCACGTACAGCCCTTTCATGGGACCCCTATAAAGTGTTTTCTGCGCTCTTCAAATGGCCTTACTGCAGGAGATGGAAATCAATGTGGTAAGGTGGGTTGTGACGTTCTTAGGGTCAATATTTTCTAATTCCTACCTCCCTTGTCCGAAGGAAACACCTTTCTGCTGTCACATCCCTTTATAGTCAACAGTAGGACTTCTCTCACAGACCCTGAGTTGCTGATTTTAGTTTTATCGTTCTGTAGTTGACCTGCTTGGCATGATAGAACCTGCAGGGATATATGTTCCAGTCATTATAGCTAGGTTGAGTCACCACGATAGACAAACCTGACCATCACGTCAAGATAGCAACTATGGTAGATTAGCAGCATATCAACTTATGCAATAGTGGTCTTCTATACTAACATAATTTTCTATAATAAACAACGATAACTAAACTGTCTGTAACGTAGGAAACCGATTCGAAATATTTTTAGTTTTCTAGTTCCTAATTTTACTGCTCCCGAAAAGCAGACTCAACGAGAAGTAGATTTTACTGGTAGAATTTCAAAGTTGTTGTTATTCTAAAATTGTTTGATATATAAGTAGTTCATGACTTTAAATTAACTCATTGAATTTTATTTTATTGAGATTTACTTAGTCACTTAGTCATAGTCAAAGCAGATCTAGCTGAATATACATAGATTCATTTTGATATCCAGTAAATAAACCAAGCGAGAAAAGAAATAAATTATGAATAAAGGCATTGTATATTCCACTGTTAGCCACATCATTCTATATTGTATAAGCTAGTGTCGTAATAAGTGTAACTAGGCGCTTTGCCTAGTCTTCCTATCTGCCGAGCATGATGTCTTGCAATGTTACTATCTTTAAGTAAAAATGTTGAAGTTTTTATTGAAAAATGAAAGTTTCGAGTGAATGAAGTGTCTAGGTCTACTGAAGAATTTTAGCAAATCGAATAAGGATAGCTGATAAAGTTTTATTGTATACATTTAACGTTAAGAGCAATGTATATACTTAAAATGATATTTACTTTTGTTCTAACGTAATAATATTTAAAAAATATATCAATACGTATTTGGAATGAGTTAAAATTCATAAACTATCCATTTAAAACTTTAGACATCCTCCAGAGAATGTTCCTTATACTTCCAAGTTTTCCATTGAATTATATCCAACAAGAGATATAACAACTGATGTATTCATCAAGGCTTATGCAATACCAATGAACAGATGGTAAGTGAATAATTCATGTGGAATTGATGTACGTACGTATAGGCTTTTAAAATCGATTTTTTTTAAATTTTAAGATGGTTGCGAGATTGTTGTGTTCGAACCTCACACAGATATTCTTTTGAATAGAGACGAAATTCGCTTTTCTTTCCTTACAAGTTGTCAGCAAGTGAAACCGTGTTCATCACCCGTCAATCGTGAAATGGATATGAACGTATAGAAGAATAACCTAAAAATGGCAGTTATACTGATGACATCTGGTTAAATGATTTCAAATGGTAAAGTGAAATTCACTGAGAGAAATGTGTGTTGAAGTTGTGTTGAATGATTACATTTGCAATTTCAATGATATAATACACAATAAGCGTACAACTCACAAATAGCTATGTAATCAAAGAGGAAAATTACAGATTTTTTTAGTCTGTATTTTGAAAATTTGGAAGATACTAGTGTGTTTGTCATGTATTTCATGTATTTCTCAATTGATTACAATTTAGATTGGTTCTTTGTACATATTTTTCACACTTAATTTTCACTATTCTTGGTAAAATGGAAGGACTTTTATTGTAGCGTCATATACCTGTCTGTCTGGGAGTCACGATGCATTCGGCTTAATTAATTAGATCCAAACTTCAGCTGCCGGAAATCACGTCAACTAGGAAAAGTGTATGGATTACATTTCTGAAAAATGAACGCTTACTTGAATGGATCAGCTATTTAAGCCAAAATGGTTGAAGGCTCTACAGGACAAAGCGAAATTATATGAACCAATATTGTTCATCATAAAAACTACGTACAAATTAAAAGCGTCTCACTAAACCGTCTTACTGAATCTTTGTACCATGGTCATCATTGTTGATTTTATAATGGACCATTTAATTTAATACAACTTTCTGAAATGAGAAATCAGCCATTTTTGTAGTAGGAACTGATGAAACCGACAATTTAATACACTCTTAAGTTACATAGTAAATATTTTTCAGTGATAAACTATCAGAATTCCGATTTCTACCGTCTTTTTATTAGCAGTGTACTTGAACGGAAATTCTTGAGGTCAGATGAATGTCACGCATATGATCTTTATTTATCGTAAATTATCCACTATATATTATGAGTAATACTGGTGATCACGAGCAGCCGGCTGTTGTTACACTTAAAAATCATTTAATTTCTCATCTCATATTTATATCTTAATAGTTCAGACCAGAACTCTTACTACTTATTGGCTGGCACACAACTGTTACCACAGTTTTCCCTCTATCGACTACTCAGTCAAAATCCTAAACTAGACTACCATGCTGAATTGGAAGGTTTACGCTCAGGAGTCTTCTTCGTAGTGCATGAACGACCTCAGAGGGTAAGTTTACAAAAAAGCCAGTCTTTTCCTTGTTGGTTTAACCAGTCAAGTTCTTTGAATGCATTTTTTATCACTAAAACGTAGAGATTTTCAAATTACACAATTGAATATTTATTAAATATTATAAACAGATGAGTTCAAAGTAAAATTTTACAGTCATCTAATATGTAATTTTGCTCAACTTTTAATTTCATAAAATAAAATGAGATAAGAAAGTTTGGAAATAGGTGTATTGAACGAATGAAAACTGAATACATTACAATTATTTGTTCACCATTCATTTGGTGACATATTATCCTTGTTTTTATCAGTCTACATATCCATGCGTTTGCATAAATAAATAGGGAAGATAATCGATTTTTGCACTCGAGGTTAATGAACTATTCATAAAAATAGCTATGG